AACTGCCTCACAGGCTGATAATGATAACTGCCTATTATAAAAGGCAGATGGGATAATTTGTGTGAAATACTTTGCAAACTGTAAAGCCAAATCAAGTGCAGCGTATTAAAGTAGCCCCACTGTCAACCAACCACTATCCAACCTTTCTGTCCTCCTCCTCACCAGTAGTTTTGTCCTTACTTGAGTCAGTTGAGAATCAAATGAAATCTGTAGATTCTCTTCCTAGAAAAGTACACATGCATCTCAGCTTTGCAAACACTTCCAAAAGGTTCATGAGGACCCTGACTCAGGGCGAGAAAGCCACAGACCAAGTTTGAGAACACTGTAGGACACCAAGACCCTCCATCTTTCCCAAACACACACCTTCACGTGCTCATGAATGCCAAAGATGAAGATAAGGCAGGAAGCGCCAGTTGTGAAGGAAAGAAAAGTCAAGATGGAAAAATGAATTTCAGAGCTCTTCCCAGAACCAGAAGACAGGAGAGAAGAAGATAAAGATCTCACTCTTTGGGAAGTAAGAACCCAGCTTTTTTCCAGAAAGCATTATGGTACCTAGAAAGAATATTGGATGAAATGTCAAATTCCAGGATTTTTTACCCACTCTGCTAAGGACTCACCATGACCTTGGGCAAGTCATTCAACTTCCCTAGGCTTTAGGTCTTCACATGAAGATCAGATCATCTTCAAAGTCCTCTCCAGCTCTGGGTGCCAGAGATCCAAGGATGTGTCTGTTCTCACCCCATTGTGAACCACAGCTCCGGCCTTAATTCTGAAGTCAGAGGCATGCTGAGAGCACGGTGCCAACACAGGGAGAAGGCCACCATTACAGCTAGGTTCTAAATTAAACTGCACACAGCGAGAGGCAGCGGGCAAAGGAAAACCCAAACCTGAAAGGAAGCAGCCGAGCTCAGGGTGCCGGTGAGTCAGTGCGGCCCAGAAGTAGATGCCCCCTCCCCCTGCCATGCCAAGGACACCAAATGGGGCTGTGTTATCAGGTAAGTTAGGCAGAAATGCCACCACGTGTGGAGACTTCTCAGAAACTGCAATTTGCCTGCATGTTTGTACCTCCTGTTCTTTATCTGGGCTCAGGATTCTCTCTCCATCCTAACCACCCACCTCCTGTCTCCTCCTTCATGACCTGAGCTGCAAACAACATAACCTTAAAACAAGGGCAATGGAGCCCAAAACGGAAATGAAATTAGAGGACAATATCTGGGACCAGACGGTGAGTTTGGGATTAGATAAAAAGCAGACTTGTATTAACACATCTACACAGACCTGTAAGGCAGAAACTCCTACACCCAAGGCAGGGCCTGAGTGAGACCTTGACCAAAGCCACAACCTCTCCCTGAGTCACAGCACATCTGAGCTGAGGCGGGACCACAGAGAACACCTCCTTAGCTCCATGTCCCCAGAAGCCTGTTGGTTGGCTTCAGGGTAATTTCCATCAGCTGCCTAACTTCCACAGAAGAGCAGACCTCTGGGCCTTCCCAGGAGGTTCAAAAAAGCCTGAAGTTCAGGCTAACAAGGGCCATTAAGGTGTTTTTTCCCATCGCTTCCTTCTGCATTTGCTCTAGAATAAGAACTGGCATTATGGGCCCCTTGAAACCAACATATGTGAAACTGACTAAGTTCCAGGGTGACTGCTCTAAAATATTTATGATTTGTTCCCTCCTGTAGGCTGTTATTGCATTGCGACTTAACTATTTCTGCTCTACTATCTTTGTAGAGTAGCAGAGTATCTGGCCTAAGTGAGGCTGGTGCTTCATAAACATTTGCTGGACTTAATGAACATTTGATAAATTTTATTTGTATGCACTTCTAGATACACAAACACGTAGGTGCCCAGTACATATTGAGTGAATGGTTAATTAATTGATTAGTTGGCTAAACTTAATAACTCTCCAGGCTGTCTGACAACCTTCACATGTATGAATTCTGAGAAATCCATGCAGGCAAGTATAAGTTCTTTGCTCCTCGAAGTCAATAAAGACTCAATGAACACAGTCATATGAACATAGGTAACTGTTACATGAACAGGCATACCATACGCATTTATTACATGCACATATGATTCTGGTAGAAACTGGATGTATCACAGCTGCTATCCATTCACCAACAGCAAATTATTAAATGTGTGGTAGTAACAGCAATGCAGACTTCCCTTCTTTAGTGGCTGCTCTCATTAGGAATGGTTAGCAAATCAAGAGTGTTTTGAGAAAAATATGTGTCAGCATAATATATTCTATTTCTTAGTTTCAGTATTTCCTAAGGTATCAAGAATCCACACTCAAAAAAAAGTGGCCACTATTAATTAAATGCCATAAGTTGAGAAAAGGGGGAATGTGGCCCTTCCCCCACCGAGAGGCCTTATGCAAGCCACATTTTTGAGCCTCAGTGTGTTCATCTGTAAAATGGGGCTAATACTCTCCTACCTCACAGGACCCTCTTAATAAATGCTATGATATCTGGGCGGGGGAGGGGGTGTAAGAAAACCTGCCCTGTAAGGTCATACACACATATTATTCTAGCAACCTGTTAATCACTGATGACACTGTACCCTAGAATGTGTTACAAAATTACTGCCTCTGAGCATCCATTATCCAGGACAGATGCTTGACACAGATGAGGTGATCTGTGTGTAAATTGAATCCTGTGTCAAACACTCAGAGGGAGTTTCCCCAGACAACCTGAGCATGTCCTGGCCACCTTCTAGCGTCTGTTCGGTGCATTCTCTTCACGTATAATTGGGTTTTCTTGAAAGCCAGGCCATTTCCTTGCGCAGCCCGAGCCTGCTAGGAGCCTGGATTCCTGAGGTTTTCAGCCCAGACCGGGCCCCGGGCAGGAGGAACTGGAAACGGACAGCCGGCAGCCCCTCCCTGCACTCTGGGCGGCTCCTTCCTCTCGGCACCGGCCCCAGCAGCGGCGGCGCTCGCTCGCGCTGTGTCACTTTCGCCCTACGGAGGCTTTAGCCGCGGCCGAGCCGGCGGCTCCAGCGGCTTCCTCCTTGGTCGCGCGGGCCCCTGGCCTGGGAGATAATCCCCGGGCCGCAGAGACACAGCGCCGAGTGGGCGGCGGGCTGGGCCGGGTTGGGGCGCGCTGGGGCTGCCGGGCCGCCTTGGGCTCCCACTGTAGGGCCGGGGCTGTGGTAGGCAGTGGCTGACTCTCCCAGATCTGCGAAGGCAGCGGCGGCGAGCGCGGGCACGCACACCCACCGAACGCCTCGGTGCGGGGTCACCCTAGCGTGGACTGGGGGCGGAGCAGCCAAACTAACCCCCCGCGCCGCCGGGTGGACCCCGAGTCTGCCGGGTCAGGGGGCGTCGCGGGCGCGGAGGGAGGGGCTATGTGACTCAGCCGCACAGCGGACCTGGGACTCCTGCACCCAGGACCAGCACACGCGACCCTACGGTCTTCCCCGGCCCACAGCCGCACGGTCCCCTCTCCAAGTAACTCGGGCGCGCGCGCGCGGGGACACACGACCTCGACTCGGACGAGGAGGGGGCTGGCGGGACCGGTCGCGCGGGGGATCGGGGCCCACGCGTGTCCCCACTACGCCGCGGTCTGCGGTCCCCGCCCCCCACACACACCGGAGCCGTGTGTACACACAAACAGCCGGGCGGGGGAGGCGACGCCTCACTCCTCGGGGTGGGGACGCACGCGGCGCCGCCAGCCAGCACTCCCCTCTACACGCCGCACAGCCCGCCCTGCTCACACCCCCCAGCCCCAACCCAGAAAACTCTGCGGAACCAAACAGCCAACACCGCCCAGATAAGGGACTCAGACCGCCCCCTTCCCGATTGTCTTGAACCATCAATAGAGAAACACACTCGGCTCAGCTGCGCGGTGTCCCGGACGCCCCCTCCGGCCATATCCAGGCACCGGCACGCGGCCCTCCGAGGCCCCAGACCTTCGCCGCAGCCCAAGCCATCGCCCCCCACCCCCCGCCCGCCCTTCCCCATGACCGGGGCCCGGGACAGTTACCTGCTAGTCTTGCTAATGAACCCGAGCCGGAGCCCACCCCACGGCCGCTCGGGTCACTCGCCACCCAGAGGTGGCTTTTCAGAGCCTGTCAAGTGAACCCCTCTCCGCCCGGCGTATCTATTCCCCAGGCCCGATTGCGCCGCGGTTACAGGAATAATAAAAAAGCCAACAGAACCACGACCGTTGGGAATAACCAAAGGGGAGACCGCAAGGGGTCCATCGATTTCGTTTCTTCCTCTGCTCCCATCCCCCGCTCCCCCCGCGGCCCGCGAGCTCACCGGGGACGCAGGGAGGGGGCTGCGCCCTGTCTAGACGACAGCCATCCACAGACATCCCCGAGCCCGCGGGGACGGGCGCGCACACTCACACACGCCCGCTGCCACAGACACAATCAGTCACCGGGGAAGGGAGGGGCGGCGTGGAGACACTCTCGGGGTCCCTCCCGCAGCCCCGAGTGCTGCAGCCCCGGCCCCCAAACGCCACCCCGAGACGCGCTCCCTACCTCTGCGGAGCGCAGTCTGAACAGCTGCAAGTTTGGCTGGTACTAAACCAACTGCTCGATGCAGCAAATGCGGGCTTCAAAACAAAAGGGAGAGGAATCGCGCTCGCTCCCTTCCTCCCCCCGGGTCGGAACCCGGCACATGACAGCGGCTACACCGCGCAGCTCCAAAGCGAGCCGGGCTCCAGCCGTGCGCACCCCAAGAGCCCCCCTTGGCGCCGGAGCTCCAGGGCCACGGCACCCCGCGGGGCGGAGAACCGGGCAGGGAATGGGACAAACCCAGGGAGGGGGCGACACTGTGGAGTGCAGTTCCCCACCGAGGGGGAGGAGGGGATGGTAGATGGGTGCGGACACCCCGCTGGCCCAGGCGCAGGGAGGGGGAAAGGGGCTGATTGTTTGGGGCGGTTTTCCTGGATTTATCTATAAGCACGCGCACGTCACGCAGCCCTCCTCCCGGGTACCCGAATCGATCAGCAAGCTGAGGTGACTATAAGAGGAGGACGGGAGAGGAGATGCTCACCTCGGGGTTCCTCTGGCCGCCGCGCCAAGCCCGAGTCGGGGGTGGGGGAAGGGGGCAGGGAAGGGGAAGGGAGGGACGAGGCTCCGGAGAGCCGACTCCTGCCTCGAGTTCGGAGCGTCCCAGCTGCGGAGGGGATCGGGCGCCCCAGCGCACAGACCCAGCAGAGAGGGGAGGGAGGGAGGGAAGGGAAACAGGGAGGGAGGGGCGGGTAGGGGGGAGGGAGTAGAGGAAGGAAAAAAAAATGATCCCTGATCTGACACAGGGAAAGAGAATGTAGGAGAGTGACGTCTAGGCCCCGCCCTCCCCTCCGGCCACGTGCAAAGACTTGAAAGGAAAGAGGGCGGCGGGAGGCCTGCTGGGTAATGTAGTTCGCCTTTCTTTTCCAGGATGGCGGGCCCTGGAGAGCGGGGTGGCCCCGGGACGCTGGGGATGTCGGCTTAGCTGCCAAGACAGCCCAGTCTACCGACGCCAAAACCCGCCGCCCAGCGACCCCACGGCACTGGCGCAGCCCTGGGTGGGGGCTTCTGCGGTGGGAGACCTGGGGGCTTAGGCGAAGTCCAGGCTTACAGGGAAACGTTAGTTTTAGAGTCAGAAAGGCTTTAAGGATGAGAACTTCCGTGCTGAAAGTGCAAAGTCTGTGCTAATGGCAGATAAAAAGGAGCTTTGTGTATGCACTGGGGGGCTCATGTGGCGTGATTAATGCCGCACTAAATGCCACCGTCGGTTATTGAGATGCATATGTTATAATTAACATTTGAGCATCTCTGTGTCAGGGGCTGGCTGTTGTAATTAGATATGCACTTTGCAACCAATTAATTTTCCTTCGGCCAAGCTAAGGGCTGGGACGGGGTAGTTGGGAGAATTCAACGTAGTGGATAATTCAGTAATAACCAGATCACCAATGTTTTTGTTAAAACCGAGCTTGGTAGAGAGAGGCCTTCAGGAGAAATACTGAATAAAATAGTGTATACCCCAACAAGGAATGGGGCTAGAAATTCATTAGAGGAACCGTGTAATGCAGTATAAACTGCTGTAGAAACCCATTTATTCATTAGTTTATATTCACATTTAGTGAGCACTTTCCACACACCAGAAACGTCTAGGAATGCCAAGACAGGTAAAACCCACAGTCTGTGCGCTCAAGGAGCTCAGTCTAGTATAGGGACCACAGTCAATGAGAGTACTATACAAGGGATAAATCAGCGCTTAACACAAAGTACTGTGAAATTCCCCCCACCACACAACCTGGAGCAGTCAAATGGATGGAGGGTGGGTGGGGCGTGGTAGAGGATCAGGAAGACTTCCTAGAGGAAGTGATATTTGAGCAAAGAATTTCTAAGATTTTTTTTTTTTT